TTGCGCTCGAGGACGACTCGGGCATGTCGCCGCTCGAGTACGCCGAGAAGTTCAAGCACGTCAACTGCGCGGCTTTGGTGCGCAACGAAGCCAACTACCGCGTCAAGGACCCTTCCAACGCGTTCGTCACGAGCCTCCACGCCGAGCTCACGGTCGCTGATGGCGCCGACTTTGACGAGCGCCTCTTCCGCCAAGCAGTCGAGAACGACCCCGCCGCCGCCGCCAAGTACCTCGACCAGTTCGTCTCGAGTGGCCGGTACGACTATGCGTTCACGCAGCTCGATGCAATTTGTGGTCGGAAGAACGTCAAGTCGTCGGCGTTGTACTCCGTCTTGAACGACTCGATCGTGGACGACGGTGGCGCCAAGCACGACCTTTTGCAGCACGTCGTGCTGCAGCGTGTGCTGGACGTCAAGTGGGAGCTCTTTGGCGCGCGCAAATACTACCAGCAGCTGCTCTTGTACATTCTCATGGTCGGCGCTGTGCTCACGACGGTCACATTCGACTTTCGGCTGCGGGCCGCCGTCGTCGCGTCGCGGGCCGTCGAAGAGAGTGACGGGGTCGAGCGCGCTCGGAAGCTCATCGACTCGTTTCCCGCGCAGCTCACGCTTTGGCTCATCGCGCTCGTCTTTGCATTTTTTGCGTTTGTCCATCTGCGCCATCTCAAGCCGCGCAAGTTCACCAAGCTCACGCGCTGGATGTACGACGGCAAGTACGTCTTCGACCCGGCTTTTGCGATCCCCGAGGCTGCTGTGTACAAGGCCCAGGCCAAAGCGTGGCTGTTCCGGCGCACGCTTCTCTGGACGATCCTGGTTGCAACGCCGATCGTCGTGGTGTACGCTCTTGAGCGCCGCGCTGGCAACAACATGGGCGATTTGGTGCTCGCGGCGACAGCTTTCCTTGGCTACTGGCTCCTCGCCTTTTACTTTCTGCATCTCGAAGTCAAGGAGCTTCTCGGCGAAGACCCGTGGCTCGTCCAGCGCCGGGCCAACGCCAACCTTATTGGCAAGCTCTTTTGGTCGATCGTCATCGTCTTGTACGTGCCGGTCACGCCGTTTTTGGTGTCGTACCGCAAGTACTACGCGTCGTCCACCAACAAGCTCCAAGTGCTCACGTACCTCTGCATGCTCGGCCCCTTCTTCTGGCTCCAGCTGAGCCAGATTCTCATCTCGGTAGTCAACTCCGGCGATCAAGAGTGGCAATTCGAGATGTACGCGTGGACCCACGAGGCCTACGTCTGCCTCGGCGCGTGCATCATTCTGAGCCTCTGGATGCTCTCGCTGCAGTTCCTCGAGGTCAACAAGACCGCCGGCTACCTCCTTCCGATCGTCAAGGACGTCATGGGCGACGTCTGGGACTTTCTCATCTTCTACGGTGTCTTCCAGTGCGGCCTCACGTGCGCCTACTACTTTATCTTTCAGCAAAAGTCGGATGCGTACAAGACGCTCTGGGCGAGCTTCCGCGCCACGTACTTTGTCATGTACGGCGAGAACGGCGTCGGCGACTTCAACGCCAAGGACGACACGACAAAGGACCACCTGCTGCAAGGCCCGATCATGCATTTCGGCTTCATTCTGCGCATGTTCCACTGCGCGGTCATGGTCGTGCTTCTGCTCAACTTGCTTCTCGCGATGATGAACAAGACGGTCGACCGCAACTGGGCCAAGCTGCAGTCGCGGGCGCTGGCGAGCTACGCGCGCTGCGTGCTGCGCCTTGAGACGATGCTCGGCCACACGGAAGCGGCGCGCGAGATGCGCCTTCAGATTTTGACACCCGCTGGTCCGGTCCTCAACCCGATTTTTGAAGAGCACATCTCCAAGCGTCAGCTTACGATGTCCATCGCCAAGGACGACACTGATGAAGACACACGGCGTGACGGACTTTTGACCAAGGTGCACGACTTGTCGATCCAGAACGCGCAGCTCGAGACGCAAATCGCCGGTACGACGCAGCGCCTCGATAGCCAGCTCCACGACGTGCTTGCAGCCATCCAACGCGCTGCCAAGTAGGTTCTCCAACCCTACAGGACGCGCGTAATGAAGCATACGTGTTTCGAGTGTTGATGTTCTTTGGTTTTCACTATCGCACGCATCAGTGTTGTTGGAGGTACAATGTCACCTCGGCTGCAATCTACGGATGTTTGTTCCGTCGAGTGCAGTGCGCTCGACCCGGGCGCGCAGAGCCCGAAGCCGTTCCTGCAATAATGACACCCAAGGAAGCAAAAATTGTTTCATTCCCTTGCCGACACCAGCCTGGACGTTCTCCACCGGTGCTGCTGTCTCGAGTGGCGCGTACTTCCAGGCGTGCTCAGTGAAAACAGGTGTAGCCATAGCAGTGCGACGACACTGCAAAGACCAAAAAAGTCTCGCATCCATACCCATCTCGCCACCACGACTACACACGCGACTGGCTTCGGTGTTGCCAACAACAAAAGGGTTCATGCTCCAGATCGTTTCTACTCTTTAAAAATCGATCTCTCCTCGCCTCTGACGGGTCGTTCGTGCACAACGCTGTGCTTAAAGGTCCTTGTAGTTGGTGGTCCCGCCTTGGCCGCTGAACAAACGGCTCGCCAACAAGACGATGGCCACCTTGTTGCCGCGGCAAGATCGTTCCAGTCGGCCGAATTTGAAAGTAGACGCGTTGACGTTGATCGTTCAAGGCACTTCACAGTCTCGTATGACACTTCAACCGAGCAGCCCTACGTATCGTCGCCGGGTGTCTATTTTCGCATCATCTCGAGGGGCGCGAGGCCCGAGGGCTCCGTGTCACGCCCTCGTTTGGCGTGCTCCTACTGGTCGGCGTGCTGGCGTCGGTGGTGCGCTGGTCGTCGTCGACGCGCTCCTGTTCCGTCGGGAGGCCCGGACGAGCGTCGCGCCTCGGCAGTTGAGTTTGTACGCAGTGGTAGCGTTGGCCGTTGGTGGCAGCGACATGAGCGCGCGGTTTGTCGGTGCGACGCACCGTCGGATAGAATGCGGCCGCTGCTGCACGAGTGCGCTGACACACGGCGCCGCTCTAGAAGCGCGCGAGCAAAGGACGTCGTAGCACTCACGATGCTCGACATCACGGCGTCGCCCGCAGCTTCGTCGCAGGTGTGCTGAGCTCGGCGGAGCGCTGGTCTCGTAGGCGGTCACGCGCCAACGGGCTGTTGACCAATCGCTCCGACTCGGTCGCTGCATTA